TAATGCTTATGAGCTAGGTTTGCAAATCAAAGTCAACGTTTGTACGGTGCATTCATTATTTGCAAGACTAACTAGTATGTAAGAGCTACGATTTGACCAGCTATACAAAGTTTAATATATTTAGACACAGTTAACCTACGCTGCTTACTTCTATGACGCATCACCTAAAGCTACGTAGTTACCTTAAAGTGGTTTCTGCTGAAGGTAATCTGCCATAGCTACTACCCTAGTGAGCAACTTAACCTTATCTTTGGATTACAAAGTAAGAGAGGAAATTCGGAGAACTTTCTCGGTAAAAAATGTCGTCTTCTCGTCGAAAAAAGTTGTCAAGGAACTTATCCCTAAGTTCCTATTCTAGTGAAGACGTTTTCGTTTTGAACCGGTAAATACTATGTATGTATCTCAACTTTAAATCCAAAACACCAGTATTCCTTGGACGAAATTATATTGTTTGGCAATTAAAGCGAGACAAAATACAAAGTCTACAAACAAATGTTAAGTACAAATGAAGTTATAAAGTACTTTTATTCGTGTTCTTTCCACCTTCTTCCAACTTGCACACGATCGTACTATTCGCGCCTTCGAGTTGCCCACCAATGGCTGCCAGTTCCAATAAACAAACGTATATATACCCAAATCTCCACAATTGCCTTTAGAGATATTCGTTCTATTACCTCAAATGACTCACTATTTGGAGTCACTTAAAAGTTAGAAAAAAATCTACAAAGACAGTGCACTTATAATTTCTAGATATCATAATGCACCATGAGGAAGAAGCCATTTCCATAGGGTTATTACAGTTAGACGCGCGAAATTACTCCGAAACACAACGACTACGATTCTCAGTTACAGAACATCCTACTTCGCTACATAATCGTCTAATCGTATCAACAGATGTTTCGCCAAGATGAAGAAGGTCACTGGCTCAAGGAAAATTTATTTAAAAATAATGGGCATCCATATTTATAGCCATGGAGAAATCACAACTTCGAGAAAACCACCGATTGTAGACCACAACCCGAAACGTTGTGATAGCTAATTAAAGTTTTACCCTTAACTGGGATAGTTCGTACACTCACCAGATCACCATATTATCCGCTTTTTAAGTCGTTTTGCAACACACTGAAGTGATGTTAACAGTCTTTGCTACAGGCGGTCCTAGCTCATGTATTTAGATCTAGTTCATTACGCATTAACAGGCGTAGGTAAAACTTACTATTTAGGGGTTTCTGATTGCTTTCAAGTTTCTTTCAGTTCCAAAACTACATACAGGCACAACAGATTCACACTTTTCATATGCCTCAACCTTGTTTGACTTAGATTCTCCGAAAATATGTCTGATTCTTTAACTGATAATAGACACTGATGTGCGTCGGTGGCACAGAGGTTAGGATACTCGCCGACCATGTACATGGTCCGAGTTTCTATCCCATGCCGACGCACACCTGATTTCTATGTTCGGCCTGCTAAATTAGGGCTACGGTGTAGAATCAAGCTATAATAAACTAAAATAAAAAAATAAAAATATACTCAGCTTCTCGAAAAGCTTCAAAGCTTTTCAACTTCAAAACACGTTATGAAATCTCCAGGTTTCATATGCTCTTCGAAACCTTTGCCAATATCAACCCTGATCGTATTCTCCTCACCAGAATGACTCGTAGATTGCTGCATCCTGTAAACATGAATGTGAAAGATATTGTTTTTTACAGATTTCTACAAACTAAGTAACCAATTGAGCCAGAAACATTAACCGCAAACCAGCAAATGAGCTAAAAACAACAGCTTTTGTCAGCTGAACATGTTCACGTGCATATTTTTTTAAGACTTCTACACAGCACTATTTCATTAGTAGATGAAAAACAACTAAAACACTGAAACTACGCATGAATGCAAGGTACGAAACAATTATAATGAAATGAATGCACTGACCTGGTGGTAAAAACTTTCGAAACAAACGAAATAACTAATTTTAACAGCAACGGAAACAAAAATGAGTTGAATCCACATTAAAGAGCACCAGTCAGTGCAACTATTTATCAAATTCACTTACAGATAACCATTCAACTTGTGACAATTCCTGTCAAAACACACATACGGCGAAGAATGCATTCGCAACATAACTCCTGTTCTCAGAGGTTCTGTTGGCATTTTAGGTGACTTCAATTTACTGATATCATCCACTTGTCAAACAGTGCTGTGCTTCACACGAAAAAAGGCTGTATTGATTTCGTAAGACGTGTGAAGTCTTCATTGAATGATACTATGGCGAAAATTGTAGCTTCCACAGGAATTAGACTATTTTTCTCAACGATATCGCCCTCCAAATATCCCATCCTACTTATGTAGCAATATTTCAATGGAATTTTCCCCTGAAACACCAACCATTGCAACCAAAATGCTAAGATTGTTTCTTAATTAGATTACATGACGCAGATACGAATGTGATATGTCAAACAGTAAGAATCCTCATCAATCCTGAGAACAGACGACTAAAAATCTTATTCAGAATTATCGAAAATAATTTTAAAGAGAAATTTCAACCAACGTGTCAGCCGTGTTTTAATCATTCACTTCTATTACTAAAGAGAATAGCGGGAACCGTTGTTTTGAGAATCGTTGACCTTGAGGTATGGGTAAATTGCGAGTTCTTGTCGTATTTTATCCTGTACACATGATTACACACATATGTATGTGACAATTTTCTGAAAGTTCGTATGAATGTCAATTTAGTTAATTTAGTTTTAAATACTGCTCCATAGCTATGACAGAGTCGGAATCACTAGATATTTTATTAGGTGATCTGTGAGCGTACGTGTGTACAGTTAAATATTTTAGTGATATTTACCTGCATATTTAATTTTGGTAATATTATTAAGAGTTTAGGAAGTCAGTTATATGTTGTCTATAATTTGGTGAATATTGTTTTGTCGCTTTGGAGAACTTACACTATTGTGGCCAAAGGTCTTTTTCTTAGGGGAAGGGGGTATTTCCATACGATCATTATATGGAGCAACAAATTAACTACATAATTGTAGAAAACCCCAGGTTGCCTGACATTTGGATAATATTTGTTAGTCATCGGAAATCTTCTATCATAGAATAAAATTATTCTATGAAAAACATAGTGATACACTGTGATTTATTGATAACGTTTTGAGTGCAGTTTGTCACTCATAATCATAAAAAGGTATTCACATATCTTTCCAGCTTCGTAAATACCACCCTGTTATTACTTACACTTTGATTTCATTTGTAGTAATGTTTTCCATCTCTTCTCATAATCATTTTTGAATGGGTAAAACGAGCAAAAACAAAGTCATTAAGTAAGAGATGTCGGTCTGTATTTCGTGTGAGGACATCTCAAGATTTTCGAATTGCTACCAGGACTATTACCTTATACTTTTGGTGAAGTTAAACTTTGGCAACCACCCTGGTATGTAACCTTAAACAACCAATTAGAGCTGCAAGTGTTATAATGAAATCAAATCACACCTTCGGTTCTGGATTTATCTAACGAGTTCCGGGAAGATTAAGTGTTTGATTACTGTGTTAACTTAGTCATACTCTTTATAATACTCAGTGGATTGCTATGATGGTATTGCTCCCTTTGTTTACATCTGAAGCTCTGAAAAGTTGCACAGACATGTGATGTCTAGTAATTTGTCAGATTACGTTACTGTTATACGTGTAAATTTGGTGGAATGCTTGCAGTAGTACACGTAGATATGCTTCAAGTTATGCTGCTGTCAGCATTGTTGGATTCACTGACGTTTCGTGTATTTTGAAACTTGTTTAGACTCTATAGGCTGTAAAATGTTAGTTACCCTATAAGTTGAAAGCCATATTCTACACGGTTTAAGTGAGATGCATATGTCTGTCTTATCATTATAATGTTCACAGACATTTCTGTTGTTTGCAAGTCAAATTCAAAATTTTTTGTTGATAAGAAAAACATTTAGTAAAATATTTATAACACGATATGCTTTGAAGTGGAAAATTGTTTCAAATCTAAAGGTGCAACTCTGTGCTTCATTGCAAGGAATTTATGTTTTGTGGTCTTTTTGGGTAGTAAGTTATCATTCTATAGCGTGCATCATGCTGATTTAGTTGACATAAGGGAGCGTGACATGAATGAACATTCTTGTAAGTGGCCTTGTCGCTTACTGGACAAAACTTTGGTGTTTGAAACGATGGGTGCAGGTTGTTAGTCACTTTTTAATCACTGGAGACACTAGTCCCAAATAAGACAAAAATGCACGTTTTGGATTCCATTGGTAGCCATCATCCACCAAGTCGCAAGGAGAAGATTAAGAATTTTTGATTTGTGTGTGGTTGTTGAAAATATGACTAAATTTTACATCCTAATAGTGGTTTTTACTAAAATCGACCCTCTTGGTGTGGAGTTTTGCATGAATGTATGTGCACCCTAAGCTAATTATGAAATGTATGCCTTCTTTTCTGTCAGTAGTGTGACTAATATGAGGTAGTGTGGTTTAAGATACTTTAGGCTGCGAATAGTAGTAAACTTCTTTGAGCTACATCTTTTGTTTTTTCTACTATTTGGATTGATCATGTGCTCGTAGGAATACAGTCACAATTTGCATTTACAGTATGAGATGAAATGCGAAACATCAACTTAGCGAATCAGCTTGAAGGGATGCGGACATATTTGACACATTTTTCCTCGTGAAGATATCGAATAACAGTTTTATTTAAAGGGCTATAAATAGAATTCCGATAGTAAAGACTAATCTCTGGCTGCTTTGTAGTGGTGGTTATTCTTTAATCCAAATCACTTGTTGTTTTGGAAATATCCATCTATACCTTAAGTCAACTATGGGAGGCATTTGTAATTTGCCAAAGTCATGTAGCGAGCTTACATCTAATTTGTCAATGCCTTATGTGAAAAATATTAGAGCATCCTACATAGTTGATATTGTAGATATTTTGATTGGACACTAGTCAGTCAGTGACTAGTATATTGTGTTTAGTTCTTTGTTTGGTACAGACTGAATCCTGTCAGTCAGGTTTGCAATGTGGGCAGCATTCTAAGTGGCTCGACATCACTGTGCTCATCGGTAACGTCTCTGCCTGCAGGCGGCCCTAAGTGACGCGGGTTTGAATCTCAGAAGAAGGGAAATGAGTTCCTTCAAGGTTTCAAACACACCTTTCTGACTTGTAAGTGCCAACTACCACGAAACCTCGGTCCAAGGCCTCCTGTCAATTGCCTCGAACCATCTAATATCATCATATCAATGTGCACTGTGATGGCGAGCCACCTAGTGGCATGTTGGGCACATTCCAAACCTGACTGATAGAATTTAGTCTGCACCATAGAAAGGACTAGACACATCACACTAGTTACTCACTAGTGTCCAATCAAACTGACTTGTAAGTGCCAACTGGCACGAAACCTAGCTCAGTCGAGGCTTCCTGTGGCTGATTGCCTTGAACCATCTAATATATTATAGATATTAACAGACAACATGCTAATTTGTTAAACAAAATTACGCGTAATGGTTTTGAAATTTCATACTCATTTTCGTCGATGCTTTGCATGCGTGTTTTAATAAACATGTTAAAATTTAAGTGTTCATGTTTATTTAAGAAATTTATTATTTTTTTTCCTGTTTTTATTTCACTACTGAGCTTACAGTTTATTTATATTGTTTTTGGCAAGACCAATTGACTTATCAGGTTGTGTAACTTTAATGTGAATTGTCACTCAGAGTTGAAATTTTGATTTCTTAAGCTTTCAGCTGTTTTATGAATACCTTTTAGATTGTTTAGTAGCGATTCTGTACATTCTATAAAGGTATGTAAACACTTGGTAATGCTATGGAATCCGACAATAAAATCCCATTTTTGGACATCTTAGTCAAGCGAACAACCACAGGGCAATTAGAAACTCAAGAAAACCAACTCACACAGAACAAATACTGGATTTCAACAGCAAAAATTTTTATTTTTTTGATCATAGCTTGAAACCACAAAGTATGGCAGGGGATCGAACCCCGGACCATGTGTATGGTCGGCTAGAGTCCTAACCGCTGTGCTGTGTCTGAGGTTCGATCCCTCACCGACGCACACCTGATATCTATGGTCGGCCTGCTAAATTTGGGCTACCGATATCACATGCTGAAACAATCCATTAACACACAAAAGGAATTGTATACAATACTATTCAAGAGGGCCAGGACTCATAACAGTACTTCCACCTTAAGGAAAATTGAAAAAAGATATCATGGACGTTTTCCAAAAGAATGAATATCCACGGAATTTCATCAAAAGGCATATACCCCCAAGCCAACCTATCTAACCAAAGGCCCCCAAGGAAAGCACAAAAAAAACGCCCTATCCTATGTAAAGGACATCTCAGAAATCACTGCAAGACTCTTCAAACCTTTAAGAATGGATGTCGCACACAAACCAACAAAGTTAATTTAGTCAGTTCTATGTCAACCAAAAGACTCAACAACGAAAGAAGATATAACCAACATCATGCACAAAATAAATTGTAACAACTGCGAAAAACACTATATTAGGCAAAGTGGACTTCCCCTTCGTCTTCGTATCCATCAACATAAGCTGTTCGTCAAAAGGCATGACATCCACTCCGTCATATCACTACATACAGACAACCACGGATATCAGTTCGACTGGAACGTCTGTCTGTCAGCTTTCGACATAGAACTTTGCACCGATGTGCGGCAGTTCAAGTCGCCACACTCCATATAGCACACAAAGTAAGAGAAGAAAGTAGAAGAAATGCATAATGTAGACAGTAAACAGAGGTGTGAGACAAAGGAATAGTAATAACAAAGAACAATATAGTTTCATTGGGACAACGTTCAAATATTGGACAGAGGAAACGCTAGAGAATTTTTAGAAGCCTGCCTGGTATTTTAGTGAATCATCAATCAATAGACACATCGAGATTGACAAAATTTACCAACCGATAAGAAAGAAATCTCACACACAAAGGGTCAAAGTTCAAGTCAAGGAAACAATCAGTTCCAATACAAGTAGCCTAGAGGATGTGAAAACATACAAAATCAACCAATCACGACATTGAAGGTCACCAGGACACATGACTAATAAACTCGTGAAGAAATCTAAAAAGCTCAATTCCATTGAAATTGAAGCATGCATGCACTGAAGATGTTGTTGCCTAATAGGGCGATAAAAGCTTCACAAATTAACTATCCAGCCAGCTCAGAGAACATAACCACATGAAAATCATCCACCTGAGTTACAAATCTCCAATTTTATACATTATTGTACCATGTTATAATTTAAAATATTTGATTTTTATTGAGGATTAATTCGATGATGTTATCCTGTGTTGTACCATTTTAGATTTGTTTATCCTAACGCTTCCTTCTGTTAATCATCAAATTCGATATTCTCAGTGGACGTATTACTGGAGAGAGAAAAAGAAAACAAAAAGCTGGATAATACCCGTTGTTATCATCACTATTATCATTATTACTGGCTTGACAATTTTGATTGTTACAGATAATGAGTGAAGACGATCAAATTGTGAGACAGAGAACAGTAAGTGCTCTCAGAATAAAAAAAAAGCAAAAATCGATTTATTTGGTTTGATCTTTTGCTTATCATGCAGTGTACTATTCATCCTAAATAAATCTGAAAACATTCACTGTTACCTGTTTATGATTGGAGTGGGACTTTAAAAAAAACTAAAGCACTCACTCGAATCTTACTACATCTATCAGGATTCCATCATGGGTAAAATTTGTTTTGATAAAGTCTCACAGTGTTATACAGTTATGTTTACTGATGACAACGTTTCGAGCACAATTTATTGCCACTCATAATCATATCAAGGTAATCACACGACTTCCCAAATTCATTTATATAGTTCCGTTGTTTTTCCCTTGATTTTCACTTGAACTGATTTGTAGTAATATTTTCCATATTTCGGCTATGAGTGATGATTCATTCCTATTGCATGTGTTGGGTGTAGACTCAATGAACCAGACAGGATTCAGTAATCAACCTCTCTCCACCTACCTAGATTACTTCTTAGAATTTTAACCCTCTCCCAACCTATTGTGTGGTTGTGTGCTAATGCGTGCATTGCAATTGCTGAGCTTTTTTCTAAATTACTTACCTTCTTGGGGTCAACCATGGTTGATTACTGAATCCTACCTGGTTCATCGAGTCCACACCCAACACATGCAATGGGAATGATTCATCACTCATACCTGAAATATGGAAAATATTACTACCAATCAAATCAAGAGAAAATCAAGTGAAAACTAATGGAACTATATAATTGAAGTTTGGAAGTCGTGTGATTACCTAGATATGATTATGAGCAGTAATAAATTGTGCTCGAAACGTGGTCATCAGTAAACATTACTGTATAACACTGTGAGACTTTATCAAAACAAATTTTACCCATAATGGAATTACACTCTACCATCACAGTGCACAAGTTTTATTCTTTTATCAGGATTGTTCGACCAGGTGGTATGATCACTTTAAGGGGTGTAATCTATTGCTGAGAGTTTTAATAATCATGCACTGAGCAACATTTCGCGCGTATAAGCGTTTATAAAGCTATCCTATTATACTGGTTGAAGTGGATTTGTTTTTATTCGTTTACGTTCCCAGTGGAACGTAGGGCACCTTCAAGCTAGAGGCTTGAAGTCTCGGTGGCAGTGTTTATTTTTACGGGATGCAGTTGCTAGCCTCATGTCCAACCTTTCCTCTTTACCAGTCTTATTAGTGGCTTAGCGAGGTAAAGGAGTGTATCGACCGGGGATTGAACGCAGACCACGTGTGGCGTGGTTGACGAGCATTCTACCACTGTGCCACCGATGCACCTAAAGTCGATAGAGTATGAAATTAGTATTCTTATGGTTGTATTGTACACTTCTGTGTCAATTTTCGTTTTCTGGTTGATTGCCAAAAGACTATTGTCTCGATTGGCATACATGATCAAGTATAGCTCAGCCTGCACTTTCATACAACAAGCGTGGCTCATAGACTGTTGCATGAAATATCTATTCCCGTTACCTGAGTTGTGATCAACAACCAATCAAGCTTTGGTCACGAAGAGAGTATACTGTTCATATTTTCACCCATCAACATATTCAGGAACATAAGCATACCTGCCAACAACCAACACTTGCTATATTTCTTGTGTGCAATTCTCCAGCTTACGCCATCTCTAGCGTAGACATGATATCCGGCTGGCTATCGGTCAAACGATGGGTGTACTGCACACCACCAGTTCGTTCCGTCCTCTTCTATGGCTGAGATATGGGAGATATGAGAAGGCCAGTTGTCTTTGATCATCGGTGCCTGCGTTCTTTCTCCCATGTTAGGTGGTATAATAGGGTGAGTAACATCGAAGTTAGACATAAAGTGTTAGTTAGGTAGGTGGGAGGGTAAATGAGTCAATAAATTTGTGAAGCTACATCGATTGAAATGTCTAGGACATGTGTTACTGACGCCTAACCATCACCTTCCTCGAGTGATGGGCAATGTTAGCTGACATAGAATCAGGTTGGAAAAGAGTTAAGAGGGGTCAAATCAAAACTTCGAGTCAGTGCACGAAATCTTTGATGCTTAGTTTGAGTCAGCCACGTACGGAGATCTAGAGCACGTGGTTGGGATCCTCGTGACGCATAGAACAAATGACTGTGGAGACTGTTGATGATATAGTTCGAAATTGTTCTCAGTGGCATAGATGTATTCACTCTCTAAGCGACTAACTGAATTTCAACGTAGAACTTCCCATAGAGAACTACAAATTACTCTATGTAATCTTCAAGATCCATTCAGTCTTTATGTTTTCTCTACTTTTGTATGTGGCATGAAGTATGACAACTTGACTTGAACACTGTTGAACTAAGTTGCTAAGTCTTAAGTTGAAAACTTGGTTGGTCAGCATAAATTTAATCACAAATTATTGATGTCTACTAAAGAGTCATTAAAAATGGAAAGATACTAGACAGTTTCAGACAGCTGAGTGAGTAGTGAGCACTGATTGATTGTGTGCGTAGAATTGTATTCACTTGTCAGTATATTTCATCCTTTCTACTACCTACTACATTAAATGTGCTTCTGTACGTAGAGATGATACTAATTACTGATATTTACTTGATGGGAAACGAATGAAATGTCCAAATTATCTCGTAGTATGTATTTTAATAAACTTATCTACGCCTTGAAAAGGATGAAGATATCCTTTGCTGGTTCACGAATGTGGGATGAGAAGTACGGGGCAGTTGAGGAAATATTTAGGAGGAATGATGATATGTTGATGAAATGAAATGACCTGATTTCTGATCTTCAATTTCATCATAGATATACTAATGGACTTAACCCTGACTCAATTCAGAGACTCAGGGATTGACTTGTTACCGCCAGGGAATAATAGTCTCGTTGACTTAGAATATACAGATGATATAGTTCTGATAAGCTGACAAGACGCTGACAAAATGCAGAGTCTTCTGAACACCTTGAGCTGAGCAGCAATCTTCGAATGTTTGGTATGCGATTCGCTCCTGCTGTCAAATGTAAAATGATGCTACAGGACTTGATTAGATTGACTCACTCCTAGCTTAGAAAAAGAGAGTGAAGTGGTTGGTGGAGCGTGTTTACCACTTCGCTTATTTGGAGAGTTGCATCAGCCAACACCAGTGGGTTGATCGCTGACGAAATCTCTGCACGGATATAGAAGGCTAGTTTCGCGAATACCAATTTACGCCGTCTCTGGCGTAGATGTGATATCCGACTGGCTGTCGACCAAAGGGAGACTGTGCGTTGGTGGCGCAGTGGTTAGGACTCTCGCCGACCATGCACATGGTCCGAGGTTCGATCCCCTGCCGACGCACACCCGATATCTATGGTCGGCCTGCAAAATTTGGGCTACCGATATCCATGCTGAAAATTCCATATTTGTACTGAAAATACGGTGTGGCATCAAGCTGTAACCAAAATAAAAAATAAATAAATAATAGAACTTATGTATGCTACTTACTGATGAATGCTAGCAAGTGTGAAACCTGGATAAGGCAGGGTTCTCTATTGATTGACTTCTAATACCTGACACTTGAGAGTAGAGTTTTGCTCGTTTAAGTGTACAGCTGTCATTATAAAAAGTGACTCCTAGCATTACTAACGTGCGCGACGTTGGCCTGGCTGTCAAAGGTCAGGTCTACAATGCTTCGGTGCGCGAAGTATTGCTCTACGCCTGCTTAACCTGGCTTCTTCGAGCTGAGGATGTGTGGCGACTCTGCATATTCGATCATTGCTGTCTCCGTAGAATTGCTTGCGTTCGCTGGCATCATTGTGTGAGTAATTCCTAGGTTCCCCGGTTCATTCCCGGGTGCCCCTCTCTGAACATCTTGAGCAGCAATCTTCGTATGTTTGGCATGCGATTCGCCCCTGTAAAATGTAAGATGCTGCTACAGGACTGGACTACGTCAACTCCTAGCTTAGTGATAGGGAGTGAAGTGATAGAACATGTTGACTACTTCACCTATTTGGGAAGTTGTATCAGCGCCAACGGATTGATTGGCGACGAAATCTCAGCACGGATCCAAAAAGCCCAAGCTGCTTTCGCTAACTTACACCATCTCTGGCGTAGGTGTGACATCCGACTATCAAGCAAGGGACGTGTGTACTGCTCAGCAGTTCGCTCCGTCCTTCTCTATGGCTCTGAAACATGGCCAATACGAGTTGAAGACATGGAAAGGTTGACTGTTTTTGATCATATATGTCTACGATCTCTTTCTCACGTTAGGTGGCATAATAAGGTAAGCAATGTTGGCGTTAGGCGTAGAGTGTTGAGCAAAGATGGAAAATCAATCGAAGAGGCTATAAAGTTACATAGATTGAGATGGCTAGGTCACGTGCTGCGCATGCCTAGCCATCGCCTCCCCCGACGGACGGGCATTACTAGCTGATATAGGTGCAGGTTGGAAAAGAGTAAGTGGTGGCCAAACAAAAACATGGCGTCAATCCATGAAATCCCTGACAGTTAAACTGAGTCAGGTAGGGAGGGAGATGCAGACTTCCGGGTTGGTCGGGGCCCTCGGGACTCTAAGAATCAATGGCTGGAGACAGACAATAGTTGGCATGGTTCAAAATCGTTGTCAATGGCTTACGCAGATGTATTCATTCTCTGTAATATTCAGTCTCATATTCCTTTCTACCATTACTCATTCTGTTTCACTCTTATACTTGTCAAAACTCTATTGATTCTCTTCACTGATTTTCCTTTCTACCTTTGTGTGCTATTTGGAACGTGGCAACTGGAACTGCTGCACTTCGGTGCCAAGTTCTATGTTGAATCCAGACAGACAGACAGTTCTTAGGTCCGGCAGTGTGTATTTGGACACAGTGGAGATCACCCTTCATTGAGTGTCATCATCTGGAGGTCCCAGCTTCGGTGGCTTGGATATGTGCTACGAATATCATCCCAGAGATTTGCCTACCGGACTCTGTTCACTAGCCTTAGGACTAGATGGAAGAAGCGGAGAGGTGAGTGGTGTTTGTGTTAGGTTAGCATCTGTTAGTACATCACGACTCCTTGGTTGGAGTTCGGTAGATAACTCGACTAGGTGGCTCGAAACGTTGTTGGATATGGCGAAGAATCTCAATCAGTGGCGAACGTGCTGCAGTCTGCTTCTCTCTTCCCTCTCTGACAATAATTGGTCTTGCTACCTATAACTGCTTTCTTCGCAGATGAAGTCCTTTATTGATTCTCTATCCATTTCTTTCCTTTTTTCGCATGTCATTATTATTGTATGACATATTGTACCAGATTTTGTGTGTCAAATAAATAAACAAATAAATCAATACTCTAACATGCTTACAGTCAATCATCTTACTTATAAAACATTTTAATTTCCTTTTCATTTCATCTACACTAGGATAATATTACAGAGGAGCAAATTACTGCTGGACAAGATGACTCGGCTGGATCTAAAAAACCAACAACAAGCGATGAAGATGATGATGAAGCGATCGACCCGATTAAACCAGATTTTCATGCTGCTGAAAAGCTACATCAAGGCACTGGTCATGTACCACCCGTGATTAGCTTTTTGAGCAATTTTCTTTCACCACGTTGGGTTAATTGGACTGTACGATTGTTTACAGGTATCCTGTTGATATCTTCATTTACATTGTTAATCTATTTGGGCCCGTTGGCATTGGTACTTATGGTGAGTTGATCAAGTTTCGTTTCTTTTTCTCTCACTTGTTGTTATGTGATATTCATACGTTTCGTTAGAAGTCGCGGTTGGTTAGTAGGGTTAAACAGTTGCTAGCTAATTGATACTAGATGATTGGAGGCAATCGACAGGAAGCCAGCCCCGCTTAACCTAGGTTTCATGCCTTTCGGCTAACACTTACCAGTCAGCAGGAACTCATGTCCCCTTTCAGGTCTAATAGCTCAGTGGTAACGTCTCTGACTGAGACACACGGGATGGTGAAACGGGTTGGAATCTCAGACGGCGGGAGACATGATTTCCCTCAAGACTGCAGATATGCCTCGCCGACTGTTGAGTGCCAGCCGACAAACTGGAAGCTTAGGTGAGGTGGGGTTTCCTTCCGATTGCTTCTAACCATCCACTAACAACAATTCAAAGTTTAGCGTGATGGCAAGTCACTTAGCATGGTGGCGACATTGTAAAGCGGGTTGATCGCTGACGAAATCTCAGAACGGATACAGAAGGTTCATTTCGCATGTGCCAGTTTACGCCGTCTCTGGCTTTGTAGACGTGATATCCAGCTGGCTGGCTGTCAACCAAAAGGCGTGTGTACTGCTCATCTGTCCGCTCCGTCCTCCTTTATGTCTGTGAGTGAGACATGACCATTGAGAGTGGAAGACATGAAACTCTGGCTAGCTGTCTTTGATCGTAGGTACCTGCGTTCTATCTCCCGTGTGAAGTGATGGTATAATAGTGTGAGCAATATCGAGGTTAGGCGTCGAGTTCTTGGTAGGGAGGAGAGATCAGTAGACGAGGCTGTGAAGTTACATAGATTGAGATGGTTAGAACATGTGTCACGCTTGCATCCTTAGCCATAGATTTCCTCGACAACAGGCAATGTTAGCTGACATAGGATGGATCAGGTTGGAAAAGAGTTAGGCAGTGTTGGTCAAAACAAAACATGGCTTCATCAGTCAGTGAAATTCACAACAGTTAGTTTAAGCCAGCCAGCTAGTCACGTAGGAAGGTGTAGACTTCCTGGCTGGTTGGGGTCCTCGGGACGGTAAATACCAATGAAGGCGGGAGACAATCGGTGATATGGCTCAAACTCATCGTTCTCAATGATGGCGCAGATGCATCCACTTCTTGTGACTTATAATACCCAATGAAACTAAATTGTTCTTCTATATTACTATTCGTTTTGTCTCATATCTCTATTTGCTGTGTCTATTTTGCATTTCTTTTTACTTTCTTCACTTGCCTTCTGTGCTACGAGGAGGGATTGTGGCGACTCGAACTGCTGCACATCAGTGCAAAGTTCTACGTTAAGACCATCCGGTCAGTCGTCTAGTGTTCAATCAAAGTTGTTAACTGGATTTCATCACAAACCAACCAAAACATCAGTTAGGCATCATTGAAGTCTACCTTGGCATAAATCTAAATGCTTACGAAACAAACCCTTTAAATAAGATAAATATCAACCTCCAGTTGATTGTTGGATGGATGCCTTAAAGCTGTGTCGTGACCAGTAGTGGGTGTGGTCTACTGTGTGTCAAGGTGAAGTACACACTCATCGAAGATATTGGTTGTCGATTAACGCGTTCCAGCTCAAATTGCCATATTTAAAATTTATGGGTCGTTGAAATCCTGCCTATGCGGTTGAATGGTCAACAAGAGCTGGTCTCACAACCTGAAGGTCTCAGGTTCAATGATCCCTGGTGGGGTGACTGGCTGACTGACTGACCGGTCTCAACATAGAAATTTGCACAAAAGTGCAACAGTTCAAGTCACTACACTGCATTTATCACACACACATACAGAGAAAGAAAGAACGATATTAAGCAGGAATGTGAGCGAAAAGGAATAGTAACGTGCTAAAGCATGAGGTTCTAATGAATAGTCTCCAGCTGTCGGTTGTCAGCATCTTGACAATCTCAACTAGACAGTCTACGCTTCCCAATGCGACTGGCTCAAATCAACTGCCAAAGACTTCAGGGAGTAATACCAAGTTTTAGTTTGGCCACAGTTAACTCTTTGCCAACCGACACCCCACCCCTTTGTCAGCTAATATCATTTAGACGAGGAAAGAGGTGGCTCGTGAGCAGTATGCACAACATTGTATCCCTAGCTATCTCAACTGATGTAGCTTTACAACTGCATCGTTTAGTTTTACCTCCCTAATCTCTAATGATACTACGTCTCCAAAGCCTCAGGATGGTCGCGGGTGGGTGCCTTGCGCTGCGGGTTGGCCACCTCTCCGCACACCTCTTGAAATGCTCCCATATGACCGGGCGTCTTACATAGCCTCTCTTGAGGAAGTCCTACTCACTGCCTTCGCGTGGCGGAGGTGTTTTTCACCAAAGTGAGGGCGAAAACGGATGCCCGGCGCTTTTCACCGGGTTTACTATCCATTGGATGACAGTCTAGGGGAGATGGCTAAACCCTGATTCCAAACCTCCAACGACTGGCGTATGAAGCTCACTGGAGCTCACCGGCAGACGTATGGACAAAGAGCTTGTTGGATGTCCTGGATGTCTGGCCCCATTCAAAAAGGCGTATGAACCGAACTCCGGTCACCGGCTGCCAATGGATAGTGGACTCCCTACTCCACTCCTACTGCCTTGTAGATCACACTTGGTTGTGTAAAGGCTATAGCTGCACTCTCAAACAAAAGGCCGAGCGATTCTGGGGACATCACTTGTACCAAATTCCCATGAAACTTCATGAACTCTGTTCATGAAGCCGGCTCATCCTCCCGTAGGAGATAGTCGAAGTAAAGTAAGTAAGTACCTACCTTACTGCGCAAATCTCGGTTAGTGGGACACAGGATTCAAACATATGAATACAAGTTGACAGTTTAGACGAGAACAAGTCACAGCTAGTTGCATTTAATCAGTTGGCATAGTTTGAAGTCTGCATATTCACTTTTATTATATTCTCATATTCTCTCTCCCGTTGTTGATGATGTTATTGTTACTGAGTATTGACTTAGTCCTTCTATACTTTTATGAACTCTTCTTGGGTATATGTACTTACGTAGATATTGATACATCAAAAAAGAGTAATCTGTAGATAGATCTCTCTTTCTCTCTCTATCACTAATCCACGAAGATACAGTTTCATCTGCAATAATAATAATAATAATAATGTAGGTAGGATATTGCATCGATGTAATCGGAGAAGAGTAATCCATGAATCTCTATCATTATTAAATGCATAGAGAAATAAACAAAGGAGTGTATCAGTTTACGTGTGTTATGTAATAGGATACACATCCACCCATCTGTACACACGCATACACTGACATGCAAATCAGTGTCAGTTAATGCATGACATCTATAGCCTTCTCTCTTTGTGTGTGTGTGGGTGGGCGTATGTAATAGAAATTAGGACCAGTGTTGTTGTACTTATTGAGTGACGTCTTGTGATATAGAAAGTAAGTATTATATAATAATAATGATAATAATAAAAACAAAAGGAAAGAATAAATTTTCATTTCTCTATCATTACTACTAATATAACGACTAATACTACTATTACTGTAACGACAGACGACAAGGACCAGGCAACAGATTGTTTATTGAGAAAATCAAGGGGTATTTATAGATTTTTATGTACATTGTTGTTGTTGATTAGTCGTTCTCTTTCTGAAGGTTATTCTGTACTGCTTGTGACAGTTTCTTAGAAAGTTAAGCCATATATCTGCAAATCGTATTTGCACGCGTCAAGTCTGCTGTGATTGGTTAGTGAGCTCTTCAAGGTTAAGCTTTGTTATGTATCTTTTTCTCATGACCCCGGTTTGGGACTTAACATTAACGTAAATTGCTGTCTACAACTTTTGGCTTGTAGCTAGCTCTCATCACACAACTGCTACTACTACTACTATTAAGTAGAAATAAGTTGAATTTGACCGCGAATTGATATCACTTAGAGAAGCATTGTAAACTAGTGAGGTGTTAATGGACAACTGTTTCGTCCTAGTTTGGGACTCTTCATCGTGGTGCACCGTTGACCTTTACCACCAAGGAATTTCACGTTGTGGATCGGGAACAGTGTGGTCCACTGGGGGCCAGCTTTAAGGACAAATACTCGTTGCAATAATGATATTGGTTGGCGATCACGCCAAAAATTACAAATTAACAGGATTGGATAATAGAAGAATTCACAAATAAAGTAAAATTATATTTCAATAGTTTACACACAATGATAAGTTTTGTTATTGGTAATATTTCGAGCAAAATTACTGCCTGTGTTCACACCACTGTTGAAATATGAGTACAAATCATAAATTTGTGAACAAAACACTTCCAACAGTAGTGTGAACACGGGCAGTAATTTTGCTCGAAATATTACCAATAACAAAACAGTTATCATTGTGTGTAAACTATTGAAATATAATTATACTTTATTTGATCTATTCCCCCACAATGCTCAAACTTTTTACTGATAAGAATTCACAAGTCACATTGAATTCCGGCCCATATGATCAGATGATCAATGGGCTTGGCCTTGTAACCTGAAGGTCTTGGTTTCGATTCCTTGTGAGTGGGGTTGGGGAGGGGTGATCGTGGGCGTGCGTACTGCTGAAGATTCGCACAAACTAGGGCGAAATAGCTGTCTCCAGTACTTGCTGACTGGTTTTCAATGGTTCTCTAAATGATATCAATCGAGGATGAGGCTTAGAACAAGCTTAATTCCTCTACACTATTGAAAAGTAAATAAGTCACTCTAAATGTTTCACATTACTATTGACTTTGTATCTTTGTAATTCTAAACGTTTTGACTAATCCTCATTTAGTCGTTCCTTCTATTCTCATAATAATGATAGTAATAATAATAATAATCACTTTATTAGATAGTTGGAGGCAATCGGCAGGAAGCCTTCGACCTAGGTTTCGTGCTAGTTGGCACTCACCAGTCAGCAAGGTGTATCTGCAACCTTGAAGGAACTCATGTCCCTTCTTCTGAGATGCGAACCCGCGTCACCCAGTAAGTACTGCAGTCAGAGACGT